CAAGTTATCTTTGCCGTTATTATGAATAAAACATTTGCAACCAAAGACTCGAAGATGGGAAAGGTTTGGCTTTCTCCCTTTGTATAGTTCATAGGGCGTTTTCATGAGTATCGGTCGAATGACGGCTCGGTTTAACACGTAGCTCGCGGTACTCACGGCATCCGCCCAAAAATACTTAGGGATTTTTGCCTCATTGATCATAGTTCTAGCCATCTCTTCGAGACATCTATTTTTACGTTCCACCACTCCATTTTGTTGTGGTGTACGTGGGGCTGAGAAGTTATGATCAATGCCAAGTTCGTCACACAAATCTGAAAACAGATCTCGTTCGAACTCTCCCCCATGGTGGCTTCTTATGGCTACTATGGTTGTTTCTTTTTCATTTTGAACTTTCTTTAGAAAATTTTTGAAAACATGAAATGCTTCACTTTTATGAGTAAGAAACAGGGTCCATGTAAACCTAGAGTAGTCATCGACAATCACAAACGCAAAGTAATTGCCACCAAAACTTTTCGTTCTAGGACCAAAAAGATCCATGTGCAAAAGTTGAAGCGGTCTAGACTTAGAAACAACGTTCTTAGACTTAAACGAAGCCCGAACTTGTTTCCCCTTTTGACATGCATCACATATGGCATCTTTTTCAAACTTAAGTTTTGGAATGCCAATTACTAAGTCTTGTGAAACCAATTTGTTCAAAATGTTCATGTTCATATGAGCTACCCTTCGGTGCCATAACCAAGTGTCTTCCTCTTTACTCATGAGGCACTTAGCAAAGTCGGAAGGAGATTTGTCTAAGTTAACCATATAGATGTTATCGATTCTATCCCCACGTAGAATGACCTTATTGTCACTAAGGCGTTCTACCGTGCATGATTTTGAGTCGAAGGTCACACGGTTTCCCTTGTCACATAATTGACTTATGCTCAAGATATTGTGTTTAAGACCTTTAACAAGCAACGGGTAACATGTAAATTATTATTACCCTAATCAGAACAGTACATCAACATCTAATGCTGAACCATAAAGATGGTTCCGTGCATGTAATGAATACAACAATAATACAACAAAACAACAACTTGGCACGCAGGCCGTACAAATAAACAATCAACGGTTGCAACAGAGTTGCCAACAAAACAAAATGGTAATCCACGTCCTTGCTCCAGTGTCAGCTTCCAGCTTCCAGTACCCCGCATCTCAAGGCAGTAGTATGGTAGACCAAACCAGAGCATGGAGGGAGCATATGTAGGTGGCATCTCAAGCCCAACACATCACTCCCTCTCCACGGACCCAAAGTCACAGACAAGCAATCAAAAACAGCAAAACAGGACTGGGCAGCAGCAGCGTCACCTAGTCCATGTGCAGCATCAGCAAAAACCTGCGTGAAAACAGCTGGGAACCTGCCCCCTGCAAGCAAGTTAGGTTCCTGCAGTTTCCTTCAAGCATTGATTCCACGGCAATGGTCCAAAGCCTTCAGTTTATGGCTCCAACTCCAGCGTATTCTTACAGCCCCATGAAGTCCAAAACACCAGTTTTGAACACCATTTTAAGGGGGAGCAGGTATTTCCAGAAGTTGAGCTCCAGTTATAAAATCAGTTGGAGTTCATGGGCTCTGAGTCTTCCATGTTCACAGTCCTCATCACAATCAGAAGTGGGACTGTCCAACACAAGCTCTACACCCAATCCAATTGAAACCACAACGTGCTGCCCAAGTATTGTACAGTCGAGTCCAAAGCAAGTCCAAAGAGCTCCATGGCCGGGCACGCTCCCTTGTATCCACACTACGAGCAACATCCCCTATCTGTTGTCCTAGTGAAACTGGGACGACGAGGGCTAAGTTCTGAGTTCACAATGTCGTCCACCCTCGTCAAGGAAGACAACAAAATGCCAAGATCACCAGAGAAAACTCTGACCATTCAAGACGGCATAAAATGATTGGCAATCATCCTCCAACTGACCGGGTAAGAGTATCGCTAGGATGTCCACAAAAAGAGAACAAGAACCGGCGAGATCCTCCATCATGCATACCAAAACTACCCCATCATCAACAGCATCACTCAAGCGAAAGCCGTGGACATCAAGAACAGGCATGATCCAAAGCAAGGACCAGGAAGTTGCCCTAAGAATCCCCTAAGCAGTAGGGAAAGCCACAGTAAGGGGTACCCCAAGGCTCCAAGAACAATTGACTAAGGAACAACCGTCTTTCACAACAAATTGAGCAGCTCCATCATGTACAGCCCATACACAAAAAAGATCCAAATTCCAGGGGAATGCAGTTTCATTACTGCAATACTGCCCAGACCAATGGCAGCAGGAAGCCCACTGTCCAGCCGGCACCCAAAATCAACAAAAATGAAGCAGTGTCCAAAGCAAGGTTGAAACAGGCAGTCCTTCTAGTAGGCGCAGTCATACCCAAGGCACAAACAAGGCACAAGGTTACTAGCTCCCTCCCCAACAAAACCACACAACCCACTTATGTCAAGGGTTCAAATCCCTACCTCATGCAAATGAGGTAAGGTATGACAAAGTTGATTCTTCAGGAGGTTGAGGGAGAGGTGGAACTTTCACAAAGACCATTATACCAGGGTAGATGTTCCAACAAAAAGGCACAGCCCAAACCATGCAAGGAGTATAACCAGAGCAGCAATCAAATGGGTAGGCGACCCATGAACATGGACAGCAGACCAAAAGCCATCCAGTCCCATGTATCAACCCAGGACACATCAGGTAATCCTTCCCGGCAACTAACCACATCAAAAAGTTCATACACACCACAAAAAACAGCACGAAGAATAGCAGCACGGATGCACAGCAGTTCATTCCACAAAATCCAAATATACATCAACAGAGGTGTTATTAAAAGAACATAAACAGCCACAAAGAGTTGGTCAAGAAGCAAGCAAAATCTTAGCAGAAACGCAGTCAAATATCTCGCTGTGAACAGTACATACGATTCCCAAAATCCCAAAATCGAAACAAAAATCAAATGATGTTGAAATCCAACTTCAAAGAGTGGAAGAGGATTACAAACCGCTCATAATATCCAAGAATTAGCAATCAAAAAGGTCTGGATTGAAGTGAATCAGAGATGCAAAGCCGCGAGTGAACAGTATCGGGCATAGCGTTGACCTTCGTTTCTTGCAAAATCCTTCTCCAAAAACAGCGTAATTGCTCCTGATATGGATACACCTGCTGTAGGCGCACCCCAGGTTCCAAAAATGGTGTAAAGCAAGCTCAAATCCATGGAGTAATCATCGTTCTCCTCTTCGCGGCACTGTTCATTGCGCGGCTAGAGAGAGAAAACGTCGGACTCCATTGAGAGCTCTTTCTCAACAGCATCACTCAAGCGAAAGCCGTGGACATCAAGAACAGGCATGATCCAAAGCAAGGACCAGGAAGTTGCCCTAAGAATCCCCTAAGCAGTAGGGAAAGCCACAGTTCAGATTTACCTACCGAACCAACGCCGATAATCTTTCCCTTTCTATTATCTCCAAAAATTACGTTTCCTCCTTTAGCGGGTTTGATTTGGAGAAACTTGGATGCATCCCCGGTCATGTGCTTTGAGCATCCGCTATCAAGGTACCAAAGTACACTTGATGCCTTCAAGCACACCTATGAAACACATCAATGAGTTTTAGGTACCCAATTTACGTTGGGTCCTCGGATGTTAGGTGTGTGATTGTAGTGTGCTTGATTTTGTGATAGGTGCCTATGCCTAGTGTAACAAACGGGAGCAATATGGCCTATCCTATTACAGTAATGGCAAACTACGTTGGGGTTGTACATGTGCCTAGGTTCATAATAGTTAGAGGGTTTAACCATTTTGTTCCTATTTTGTGAAAACAATGGTTTTTGAAAATTTTGAAACTGGCCTTTTCTAGGTGTTCTAGCATTATTTCTCCTAATTTGAGAAAATTCGTTTTTATGCACAAAATCATTTTTCTTAGGTGGTCTACCATGACCATTTTCATTCCTAGGTTTTAGTCTAGGTTGTCTAGTGTCCTTAGGTTGATTGGGTTTTCTATTATCTTGATTTTTAGGTTTCTTATGTTGAACCTTAGATGATTGTCTAGGTGGTGACTCAACATTATCTTTAGCTTCATTTTTATTGAAACCTATTCCTTCCTTAGAAAAATGCATAGTGTCAAGAAGTAAATTTAAGCCTTTGTGAGGAGTATTAAATTTTTTGACCGTGCTCTCAAGTTTAGCGACTTTCTCTTTTAAAGCTTTACAAGACCCACATTCACTTGATGAACTTTCTGGTTTGTCAGCGCTTCTTTTTCCAAAAAATTTGTTTTCTTGTTTAAGTATTTCATTTTCTTTTTCCAATTTTTCAAAATCGTTTTCAAGTAAAGAAAGACGTTTCTTCAAAGATTTATTTGTTTTAGAAGCGCTAACAAATTCCTCATAAAGTTCATGAAGTGCTTCTTGCATTTCTTCAAAAGTATAAGAGTCGGAAGAAATGGTACATACCTCTTGGACATCGTCGTTTTGATCTTCGTGCGCCATGAGGCAGAGATTTGCAGCTTCGTCCTCCTCTTGGTCGGTTGATTCGTCGCCGGAATCGCCACCCCAAGAGATGTAAGCCCTTTGCTTCTTGAAGCCGGGCTTATCCTTCTCGTGTTTGGCCTTTGGACACCTTGGCTTGATGTGGCCAATCTCGCCACAGCCGTAGCACTTGGGAGGACCGTCGTGCTTCCTTCCCTTCCGCTCAAATTCCTTCTTCATGAACTTGTGGAACTTTTTGATGACAAGTCCAAATTCATTGTCATCATCGCTTGAGGCCTCCTCTACGGTCTCCTTGGTTGCTTTGAGTGCTATTCCTTCTTCTTTTGTTCATCCAAAGACGGCGTTAGAATAGTAGATTCATAAGTTTTGAGGTTACCTCTTAGTCCGTCGATGGTGACATTGGAGACTCCGATGGATTCGTAGATTGCATCGGCTTTCGACCTCCATTCGGGTGTGAGACTCCGCAGGATTTTCCTCACGAGATCCTTGTTGGCGTAAGTCTTTTTGAGAGCATGAAGGTCGTTTATGATCTTTGAGAACCGGTCGAACATGTCATCGATTTTCTCACCTTCTTTCATTCGGAACATTTCGTACTCTTGGGTGAGAAAATCGATCTTGGCTTCACGAACTTGATCGGTACCTTCGTACGTCACTTCAAGCTTGTCCCACATCTCCTTGGCGGTTGTGCAGCAGGAGATTTTCTGGTAGTCATTGGGGTTGACCGCACAGTAAAGCATGTTGGTAGCTTTTGCGTAGTTTTCAACCTTCTTGATGTCCTCAGCATCAAACTCGTCCTCGGTTTTTGGGACGGTGGTTTCTCCTACTTTCTTCATAGGGATTTGCTCTCCGTTTTTGATGACCAACAATAATTGGAAATTGGTGGAATGGATATAGATTCTCATCCGTTCCTTCCAATAAGAGTAGTTGGTGCCATCAAAGAGTGGTGGCCTAGAAGTTGATTGACCTTCTCCAATTCCTGCATAGAGGTTTCTAGAAGAAGAACCCATGATCGCTTTACTCTCAAACGGTTAAGTTTGGACGCGAGTTAGGCTCTGATACCAATTGTTAGAATAATAGACCAACGCTAGAGGGGGGGTGAATAGCGTTTGATCAAGCAATCGCAGGAATAAAAAATGAATAAACGAGAAGTAAAGAGAAAAGAAAGAGGCACACCGATTTTACCCTGATTCACCACAACTTGTGGCTAATCCAGCCTCCTGAGAGACTCTCTCAAGCTACACTACTATCTCGTTAAGCTTAACGGTGCTTAACAAACCCGTACAACTTGAGAATTCGAGTCACACGAACCTCAACGAACCTTCGAAGGAAACAACCCTTCCTTCGAACAACAAGAGAAATACCTTCTCTTGTCAAGTGTCTAAGAACACTAAAGACACTCAAGAACAATACTCTCTTTTAGAGTGGATAATGAGTAAACTAAGACCGCTCAAGAGCACAACACAAGCTTCACAAAAATGGCTCTCAAAAAGCTATGAATAATTGAAGAATGATTTGCAATGAAAGAGTAGGAGTTGTGAAGTAATGTGATGTGTAAAACAGACCCAAACACCCCATTTTATAGTAGAAAAATAGGCTCCAACGGACCAAAGTATTTAAGGGGTGATTGGCACAATTTGTGGGATTTGATAAAATTTGGATCTGCTGAAATTCACCCAGACAGCGCTGTCCGAGGCTTGGACATCGCTGTTCTAGGCTTGCGTTTTGAAAAATGGGAAGCAACGGTCATGCCAACAGCGATGTCCAAAATCCCTACATCGCTATTTTGGCTGTTGACTTCCAAACAAAGAAAGTTTTAGCCTTAAATTCCTTCCAACGGTCAGGTCCCTACATCGATGTTCCATACTAGAACATCGCTGTTTAGGTCTGCCTTTGGAGATGGAAGTTTGGCCTGACAGCGCTGTTGCTGGGTCAACATCGCTGTCCAAAAACTTTCTGCCAAAGCACTATATTTTGGCTTAGGTTGGATAGCGTTGTAGGGAAGCCTACATCGCTGTTCTAGAAGTTTCTGGAAATCCAACCTTGGCTCAACAGCGATGTCTATTGTCCAACATCGTTGTTGGAAGATTTAACGCCAAACCATGGTTTTTAGCTACCCAAGCCAGACAGCGCTGTTGGTTAGACCAACATCGCTGTTGGGCTGGTTTTAGCCAGACCCATGGTTGGTTCAGTCATGCCGTTAGCCGATGTGAAAAAAGTAAGTTCTCCAAAGTAAAAACCAAGTATTGAAAACATTTGTTTATTTTATTTTGCTAAGAAATCATGTAAAACATTTTAAAAACCACGTCATTTAGTTGAAAACCACGACTAACCAAGTTTGCGCCGTTTCGCATGGTTTTCACTAAACGACTAAAACGGAAAGTGGTTTTTGAAGAGTTTTGTTGGAGAACTATTTAAATATGCCCAGAAGTAAAAACCAGTCATAAAAAGTTGAAAACCACTTGGTTGGTTCGGACGTCAAAATCCAATGCCAAAAACCGAGAGCCGAACGCTGGTTTCTGAACACCGAATGCCGGATGCCTTGGTTTTTGGTTTGAGCGAACTCCAAGTGTTTTTAGCCAAGTTTAAAACTTAAGAAAAATATTTTTGAATATGCAAAAGATATTTTGGTGAGAGAAGCCTAGAGAGCCAAGATTTTGAGAGTTTGTGCCGATCTTGATCATATTAAGACCGACTCAATACAATTCTAATTCTTCGTTCTTGATACTGGGTTCTTGGTTCTCAAATCATCATGCCATGTTCCTTTGCCTTGGTTTTGCTCTCTTTAGCCTTGTTATGTCACGGCGGTTTGGCATTATCAAAACCTGTCATAAAAACGAACACAGTTTAGTACAACGTAGGCGTAAACCCGTGTTCCAACATTTTTTACTCTAGAAATACGTATGCGGTGTCGAAAAATTCAACAACCATCTTTAATAAACTTGATGAAATAAACAAAATCATTTTGGTGAGATTATAAGAAGTCTATGGTAAGACGTTGTGTTTTAAGTATTGAGCATAAGCCTTGCACCAAACATCATCGATGAGGCTAAACTACATGATATTCATAGTAATATCGATTATTTGAGCTCAAAGAATGCGAGAATGTAAATAATGGAAGTTTAGGAAATATGTGCATATGAAATATCTTACTCCCTCTGGTCCTAACAAATTTTCTTGTTTTGATTATTTGGTCTTCATGTGCATTATCTCGGGCACAAGATCCAGAATGAACTCATACTTGATTTAGCCCAAGAGATTAAGAAGGAGATTATCAAGGAGTTCAAAAAAGATTTTTGGATGTCAATCCTAGACCATTTTACACTCCTTGTGGTTGTCATTCTCTTAATCTTACATTATGTGATATGGCTCAGAGTTGTGTTAAAGGGAAGAATTTTTTTGGACCCATCCAAAAAATTTATACTATCTTTGCACATTCAATTAATCGGTGGAAAATTTTGAAAGATAATGTTTAAGGTTGGAGTCTTAAGCCATTATCTCAAACTCATTGGGAAAGTTGTGTTGAGAGTATTAAGGCAATTAGAATGCAAATTGCCGATGTACGAGAAGCTTTTCTTGAAGTTGAAGAAAAAGATAGTGATAATACAATTGTTCACACGGCAAAGTCACTAGCAGAAAACCTTAGTGAATTTGAGTTTTTGATATCAATTGTTATTTGGTATCAAATATTAAACCAGGTAAATATAGTGAGCAAGAAGCTACAATCAAAGGATATGCATCTTGATATTGCTATTAAAGAGATAAATGGATTGATTGACTACTTCAAGGGTTATAGAGAAACTGGTTATTCAAAAGCAATTGATGAAGCAAAGGAGATAGCTGCTGAAATGGATATACCTCCGATATTTCCAGAAAAGCGTTTGATTCGAAAGAAAAAAAGAGTTGATGAGAGTTCAAGTAGTGAAGAGGTTTCATTTACAAATGAAGAGAATTTCAGAGTCAATTTCTTCTCTTATGTTGTGGATAAAGCCATATCTTATCTTAAGATGAGAATTGAACCATTCAAAGACTATGAGAGATTATTTGGGTTTTTGTTTCCACATAAGTTGAGTGGAAGTGAAGAAAAAGAGCTTAAGTTGTTTTGCCATCAATTTGAAAATGCTCTCAAGTTTGAAGAAAGATCGGATATTGATGCCGAAGAGCTTTACATGGAGTTGAAATCATTCAACACATTACAAACCAGTGAATTTAGCAATCCCATAGATGTTTTGAAGCATTTAAAAGAACTTGGTTGTTACCAGAATGCCTGCATTGCATATAGAATTTTGTTGACTGTTCCAGTAACGGTGGAATCTGCACAGAGAAGTTTTTCCAAATTGAAGCTCTTGAAATCTTACTTACGGTCTACAATGTCCCAAGATAGACTTAGTGGATTGGCGGTAATAGCTATCGAGAATGAAATCTTAGAGAGCATAGACTGTGAAGATGTGATCAACCAGTTCGCTCTCAAGAATGCAAGGAGAACTTCTCGAATCCTCAGCTAGCTTTTACGGTATGTAATTATAATACTTTAATTTTGTCATTTATTTTTTTCTTTTAATAATATTGCGTTAATTATTATTTAGATATAATTAGTTTACATATGTGAATTTTTTAGACCATTAAATAAAAGATTTTTAGGGCCTTTTTTTTGTTTCGGCCCAGGCTGATGAATCCTCAGGACCGGCCCTGCAAACCACAAAATAGTCTTGAAAAAAGGGGTACCAATTATGATATTGAGGAACATTGACCAAACATCTGGATTGTGCAATGGAACAAAATTTATCGTTCAAGAGCTGCGAAATAATGTTATCGGTGCAATTGTGATTTTGGGAAATCGGTTCGGGGAAAAAGTTTACATCCCTATAATGAATTTGGTACCATCTGATCCAGGGCTAACCTTGAAGTTCCAAAGAAGACAATTACACATCGCCTCATGTTTTGCTATGACTATCAACAAAAGTAAAGGTCAACCATTGTCATATGTAGGTTTTTATTTTTAACCAAGTCAGTGTTCACACATGGTCAACTATATTTTGTTGTTTCACGAGTGAAGACAAAGACAAGATTAAAAATATTAGTTCTAGATGACAATGGAAACCCTTGCAACCATACAAAAAATGTAAAGTCTTTCAGAAAACTTGGTATTAAAATAAACATTGTTAACTCTACATTCTGTTCCATAAATATTATTTATTTTACTTTGGCTTTTTTCATTTGTAGTATTAAAAATCATGTGAGCAATATATTTTTTTTATTCCGAAAAATAAATTTCATTGAAATAATTCAGAATCGACATAAATTTCTAGTATATATATGTAAAGTTGAGTTTCTTAGTTGTGGGTTGACATGTGGCATGCCACATGTGCATCCACATGTACACTAATTATGAGATGGAGGAATTTCATTGGTTCTTTAAGCTTCTTTTTAAAAATCTTTTAATATATTTTATTGTATTATATTAAATGAATATTATTTTTTGCATAAATAAACATTACTTTGATTATATTATATACTCCGGGGTATAAAACTTTAACATTTTCTAACGACTCTATAAATGTATATTTTACTATTGTAAAATATACTCAGTAATCTAAACTGATTATATTTTGTATAAAACTTTAACATTTTTCTAACGACTCTATAAATATATATTTCACTATTGTAAAATATACTCAGTATTTTAAACATGCATATTGATTGCAAAATTTTAAAAAGAGTATGTATAAGACTCTGAATTATTAATTTAAAAATATTTCACTTTTAAAAAATGAAAAAACATTTCACCTCTTGTAAAATTGAGTTACTTAGTTGTGGTGCTGACATGTGGCATGCCACATGTGCATCCACATGTACACTAATTATGAGATGGAGGAATTTCATTGGTTCTTTAAGCTTCTTTTTAAAAATCTTTTAATATATTTTATTGTATTATATTAAATGAATATTATTTTTTAGCATAAATAAACATTACTTTGATTATATTTTATACTCCGGGGTTCAAAACTTTAACATTTTCTAACGACTCTATAAATATATATTTTACTATTGTAAAATATACTAAGTATTTTAAACTAATTATATTTTGTATAAAACTTTAACATTTTCTAACGACTCTATAAATATATATTTCACTATTGTAAAATATACTCAGTATTTTAAACATGCATATTGATTACAAAATTTTAAAAAGAGTATGTATAAGACTCTGAATTATTAATTTAAAAAATATTTCACTTTCAAAAAATGAAAAAACATTTCACCTCCAAAGATATTAAATTGTTTTTGGCATTTTTATGTTTTATTTAATGTAATTTTTTTTAATAAAATAGTTATAGAATTTTTAGTGCATGCACATCAATATTTAAAGTATAGTTTTTATTTAAAAAATATACTCCATATATTTTAGAGTGAAAAAATATTCATTTAAAATAAATAAAATTATATTTATAGAATGTCAAAAGTTTAGAATGTATACGAGCCCGTGCGAAGCACAGGGTTGACACTAGTATATTGTAATTCAACATTTGATCTATAATTTAATGAAATGTATATTGTATATTAATTAGATAAAATAATATTTTAAATTTTTTTATATAATAAGTATAATAAAACTATTTTTGTATCAATATCTAATATCATTTTTATTTAGTTTTAAGGCAAAATTTACCAATTTTGATTGAAAAAAGTCAAAAGTAAAATAATACTAAAAAACAAAAGAAATACGGAGTAGTACTTATTAAACATATATGAAGATTTACCATAGACACTATAAATCTTAAATCCATACAATAATTTGCCTTTTGGGACATTCTAACTTTTTCATTCCAAATTCATTTATTCTTCCAAATGTCCAATGTCATTTTTATTGCTAGACCGAAAATATCCGCAAATTAAATCGTATAGCCGGCTGTATGGAAAGAACCGTACAGCCGGTGAAAATTAGATATTAAGAGCAGCGTGTGATCGAATCAAACCCTAGTCCCTCTGATCGGAGAACGAAGGCAGTACAGAGTTAGAGCAGCTCGGCAAAGGTGATGATGAAGATGATGGTGGAGAAGGTGATGGTGATGTGATAATGAGGAAGGTAATTGTATATTTTGTATACGAGATGGAACTTATTGGTGGGGTTTACTGGAAAAGTGGCTATAAAATTTAGTTGGAAATAGTTTAGGTTTTGGGTGAGGAAGATGAAGAAGGGTGACAAATTGATTTTAGACTAGGTGTAATGAGGGGTACTTTAATTGAGATTGAATACTACTTCATTTGAGAATGAGTACCATTTTGTTTCAGAATGAACACTATGTTATTCGTAGATGAATATTATAATTGTATGAAATAAATGTGTGAAAATGAGTACTACATTTTTTCAGAATGAGTATTACATTATTTCAAAATGAGTACCACGCTATTTCAAAATAAACAGTTCTATATTTGTGCAAGACTTATACCTCTCGAAAATATCCTCCATAAAATTTTCAGGGCGTGGAATTGCCGGAGAAGTTGGTTGAGGGATCTCATCCGGTGCTTGAAACTAAGGTCGATGTTGTAAAAGGCGAGAAATCCGAGACTCCGGTGAATCCAAGTAATGAAGTATGCTTATATTCTTCTATGCTTCATACTATCATGCTGTTTTATCTATATGTGTATATTTTTTTGCTGTTTTTATATTTATTTTTTATGCTCCATAATGATCAGTGTTATAAATGTGCAGTTGTTGTTCTCATGAATTTAGATCTTTGTGTTTGCTAAATACAGGTGTAATGGTAGATATGATACAACTCTAAAATCTAAGAATGGTCATCCTAATAAGTACAAACCTGTGTATGAGATTATACTAGCACGCTGATGTCGAAATGGATCTTGTAGGGAATGAATGGACCTGTTAGCCCTCCTATTAAGAATGCAGAACCCAAAAAACTACATGCAGTACAATTTATGTCTAAATATTCTTCTGATTTCACTAGGAAATGTGTGTTTGCATTCGAATGACCTAAGGGCTATTGTTCTATGTTTTGCTTTAATCTCCTCTTGATTTCTATTTTCTAGCTTCCTTCACGAGAAAAGGAGTTGCAGAATGCAAATTTACCTTCTCATTTACATTTCTTGCTTCAATTTGCATCCCCTGTCCTTTTATGAGACTATCATGGAAACATGATCTATTTAATCTTATTTCTTCTTTGTGTTTTTGATAAGTAATCATATGTAAAGAAATGGTTGTAAAAGGAACTACGAAACTCAAAACCATGATGCGTGGGAGAAAATAGTTTGGTTCATTCAACTCTTCATGCCCCTATAATCATTTATTGAACTTCCTGAATTCAAACAAAAACCAAACAGTATTTTCTTGGAGGCCCTGGTGCATTTTGTTATGTAGAGTAGGTGTCCATATTTTTCGACTAAAAGAAAAATAATCAAAAGAAACAATCCAATTAGTAATAAGTCTAGCTAATGACATTTTTAGATATTCTTAGACATGGATATGCTTTATGTAACTACGTATCAATAGCTTCATGTTTTTTTACTAGCTGAGGGAGTATAAGTTAGAAACTGCAGCGAGTTCACGCCCCGTGACGTTGGTTCTCTAAATTTACTACTTCTGTGCGGGCTTATGGTTTCACTCAGTCCAAGGCTCTTTTTACTCTTGTCAAATGGTCTTATTTCATTGTATTAATATACAATACAAGTTGAGAGTAATTGATGCATAGTTATCACGGCGCCAAGGCGAGGCACGGCGCCAATGTATCGCCATGACGCCTAGACGCCTAGGCGACGATTAGGCGACAAAATTATATATATATATATATATATATATATATTCCTATGTGTATATTATTATATTATATTATATTATATTATATTATATTATATTATATTATATTATATTATATTATATTATATTATATTATATTATATTATATTATATTATATTATATTATATTATATTATATTATATTATATTATATTATATTATATTATATTATATTATATTATACTATATGTTTTTTTCAAAAATAGAAAATAACAAATAAAAAATGAAAACACTAATAGAAGACATCTTCTAATTAAAGGAAATAAACGGTAAAACATAACACATATAGGATTAATATTAAAGGAAAATAGGAAGTGCTAGGCTGGGTACTTAGTGCTAATAAGGAAAACAGGAATCTGAAAAGTCTAAATACAAGTCAAAAGTCGGGAATAGTGCTAGTCGGTAGTCGCTGGGAATTCCGTAAAATTGAAGGGTCGGGTCGGGTTGCATCTTAATTCTCGTCTCTCTCGCATCTGATCCGAAAAGATCTAGCGATCGTAGGGTTTCTTCGCCATTCAGATCTGGAATTCGACGGCTTAAGACGCCCCAGGCTGACGTCTAGGCGTCCCTGCGGCGACGACTAGGCGAGCTCCAGAAATTAAGTCGAGTCGAAGGAGCATGGCGAGAAAAAAGTTCCGACTGGACACCTAGGCGACGCCATAATAACTATGAATTGATGATTAAAGTTCATCCAATTTGACTCGAAAAAATCAAACTAGAGAGGCTTCCAACTTATAATTTTCAAACCCGGATTCAGCATCACCCTACACTGCTACACATAACATGATAACTAACAAAAAATACACAAACAAATCGATTTCCAAACTAACTGAGTTGAAAAGTGCACATTTCTCATAAACTTAATGATATTGAACAGAATTTATTCTAGTCATAGTTCCAACAGGCATGAGGTCTACTGACGTGATTTGGGTTCCCAAAACCAGGGTGCGAGGCACGGAGTGGAGGTGCATGCCTCACGGAATAGAGGCACACCTCTTTTATCACATGCATTTATATTGCTTGGACATGATATTTTGCAATAAAACACAAGAATATCATTCACAACCACATTCAACATCAAACTTTCCACATGAAACATAGAAGCAATCAAAACCAAACAGCTTCGTTGTTAGAACTTCAAAGTTCATAACAAAATTAAAAGTAAACAAAAAACAAATTGTGATTTATCTGAACACATAATTGTCAATAAAAGGTTGAGCATGAGTGTATTACATCCAGTGCTAATACACTTTATGTTTTTTTCTTTTTGTAGAAATCCTCTAGTAAAACACATATGTGGAAAATCAGTGTACAAGAAGCATTTACATTAACAAAGAAGTAAGAATATTTATACTCCCTTCATCCCACAAAAGTGTTTGGACTTTCCTTTTTCATCCTTCCAACAATAATTTGTTCACTTTTTCTCCTCTTTTTTGGAAAAGAGTATCTGGTACAATGTCCCAAAATAGACTTAGTGGATTGGCGGTAATAGCTATCGAGAATGAAATCTTAGGGAGCATAGACTGTGAAGATGTGATCAACCAATTTACTCTCAAGAATGCAAGGAGAACTTCTTGAATCCTCGGCTAGCTTTTACGGTATGTAATTATAATACTTTAATTTTGTCATTTATTTTTTTCTTTTAATAATATTGCGTTAATTATTATTTAGATATAATTAGTTTACATATGTGAATTTTTTAGATGATTAAATAAAAAATTTTTAGGGACTTTTTTTGTTTCGGCCCAGACAATGAATCCTTATGACCGGCCTGCAAACTACAAAATAGTCTTGAAAAAAGGGGTACCAATTATGTTATTGAGGAACATTGACAAAACATCTGGGTTGTGCAATGGAACAAAAGTTATCGTTCAAGAGCTGCGAAATAATGTTATCGGTGCAATTGTAATTTTGGGAAATCGGTTCGGAGAAAAAGTTTACATCCATATAATGAATTTGGTACCAAGTGATCCAGGGCTAACCTTGAAGTTCCAAAGAAGACAATTACCGATCGCCTCATGTTTTGCTATGACTATCAACAAAAGTAAAGGTCAAACATTGTCATATGTGGGTTTTTATTTTTAACCAAGTCAGTGTTCACACATGGTCAACTATATTTTGTTGTTTCACGAGTGAAGACAAAGACAAGATTAAAAATATTAGTTCTAGATGACAATAGAAACCCTTGCAACCATACCAAAAATGTTGTATACCCTGAAGTCTTTCAGAAAACTTGGTATTAAAATAAACATTGTTAATCTACATTCTGTTCCATAAATATTATTTATTTTACTTTGGCTTTTTTCATTTGTAGTATTAAAAATCATGTGAGCAATATATTTTCTTTATTCCGAAAAATAAATTTCCTTGAAATAATTCAGAATCGACATAAATTTCTTTCGACCCCGTGCATGGCACGGGTAAGAATACTAGTCCTTTATCCCTTATCCCTTATATATATATAAAGCAGAGTCTGGGCTATAAGAACGTGACATTTGGCAAAACTAAAGCGCGATATGTGGCGAGCTGGTGTGTCACCCATTTAGACAAACCGATCAGTTTGACCGGATAGACCAGTTCTTTTTTTGCAATTTTTTTCCAAAAGCATACCACCATGGAGTTTGAAACAAGGATCTCTTGGTCATTTAGTTGAGTTCCTAACCATCCAAGCTAAAGCGCTTTTTATTACAATCTCACTTAAGCTTTTATAATGTTTCATAATTAAAAAAGAATTGTATAAAAATTTCTTTTTAGTTGTAAAAAATATAATCCTCTAATGTAATATTTGAGATGACAAGTCTTTATTGGTTGCTTATGTGGCAAATTTTATTAATCATGAATTGACCTTTCTTTTTATTTTAAAATAGAAATTTAATAATGATTTCAAATTTTGGAAAAATTTTACGTTAAAAGATTTAGTACAAATAAAGAATTCATTACTTCGTGACATTAGTTGAGTATTTATATTTTTTATTTTTAAAAAGCAATTCATCTATTTATTTGTTATGATGTGATAAAATTAATTATGTTATAAAATCAAATTTGTGAAAGATAAATATAGTATTGTCCGAAATAAAATTTTTAAAGGAAAACAATTATATAAAATATAATTTTATGATAGAACTCATTATGATGTAGCAATCAATTAGTGAAAATATAAAATTGATATTATCACTTACCATTTCAAGACTAGCATTTTTTATGAATCAAATTTTTAACTAAGTGCATACACAAAAAACAAAATTTTGATAATGATATATTCTCATTTAAAAGTATTCTTACAGAAAAGGATCAAATATGTTTATAATTGATCCTTTATTTATAAAATTGATATTTTAATCTTTAAGAAGCTAAGATGTGATATTGTTTAAGAGACATTTCTGACTCGTATAATATACTCCGTATTATAGAAAGTAAAAAGTTAATACTATTGTATGAAGTCCTTCGGTACAATTAATTATGAAAGAGAATATAGATATTCATTTTTATAATAAGTTATTTTCTAATTATGTACTCCGTATAATTTTCTATTCAATTATTACAAAACTTCTAAAAGTGTGTTCGGTGAGCAAAAAAAATACGGAGTATGAGTTTTGAATTTTGATATCTCTATATATCCTTATTCTTTTCTGGTGTTTGGTGAAGCCAAAAGAGTTATCAAATTTAATATTTGCAGATATCATAAATCTTTAAAATTGATGTTCTCCAAATAAAATCATTCTAATTAAATCTTCAACCACTCCCGTTGCCAGTCACCTTTTATTATTACTAATTAAATTTT